TTATGACCTGTCTTTCCACAGTAAAAGCACTTCAACTCATATTTCGGCTTTGACCGACCTCTGGACTTTCCTCTTCTGTTACGATCTCGACCCCGGCTTTTGCTTCTACCCCGGGAGTCGGATTTCCCTTTGTTTTCAACAATGTTGGCCTCAGACGTGCTTAAAACACCTCGTTCTCTTCTCCTAACTTCTTCGCTCAAAAGACTGTCAGTCACGACATTCATCTTCAACTTTCCTTCTGGAGCTGAATTACTCAAAGTCACCACCAGAGTATCCCAACTTTCTGGCAGCGAGCTCAACAGCAGCAAAGCCTGCATCTCATCATCAATTTTCATCTCAGCTTTTGACAGCTGATTCACAATACCTTTATAGGTGTTGAGGTGTTCAATCATGTTTAAGTCGTCCTTGTATTCAAGCTTCACAAGTCGGCGAACCAGGTATGCTTTATTCCTGGGAGTCTTCTTCTGAATCATGGACTCCAGCTTCGTCCATAACTCATACGCGTTCGTGAACTCGGACACGTGCTCAAAGAGGCTTTTATCAATATATTTCCTGATCGTGGCTACCGCCTTCCGACTCAGGATCTCCCACTCCTTATCAGTTTTGTCTGCCGGTTTCTCATCAAGGATAATAGGCTCATGTAAATCTTTGCAGTAGAGATGATCTTCCATCATCGGTCTCCAATAGGTGAAATTATCTGCGATCAACTTGAACATGTCTCCATCATTGGTTATGCCACTGGTCTCCATCTCGTCTCCCTCAGAACCCGTCGAACTCGGGCTCTGATACCACTGTTGGGAACTCGGTTCCCTCAAGCTCGGCTTCAGCCTTTGTGCGGAAGTCAATCAACAAGATCCTGATCTCGGGTCTTGGCAATACCTCGGCCTGAACTTCACCAGGTCGAGCAGCGCAGCGGAAAAATCAAAACAAAAAGCAGGAGAGAGAGAGAGAGAGAGAGAGAGAGAGAGAGAGAAAGGGAACACATAATCAGAATCAAATAACGTGGGAAAACCTTCTTCTATGAAGAAGTAAAAACCCACGGGACCTAGTCCAGATCAAAAAATCTACTATGAAAATAATGGTTACAAATAATCAGAATCACCAATGTGGTGGTTAACTCAACCTCTCCAACAATAGTGATAATCAAACTTCCCTAGAGATGTTTCACTCAAACTCTCTCTAGAGATCTCTCAAATCCAAAGCTTTAAGCTTTGCTTAAACAAATTTCTCTCAAATTTCTAATCACTCTCTTCTAACCTAGCCTCCACCCTCAACTAATGAATATATAGAGGAGGTAGAATTTAGGGTTTAAGGTTTAGGATTTTTGGAAAACCCCTCAATAGGCTTGGGCTTGGGCTTAGCATTGAAGGAGGAAACCAACAATATATTGATAAGTTCTTGTAAGAATTTTAGCTATCACGTAAGAAATTGAGAATTTGCTATGAATCTTATCTTTCAATTCATCGAAAAAAGTGTTGTGGGCAATATACATTGCTTTGTTCTTACCATTGAATGTCATACCATCGGGACCTACAAATTTACAACCATCGAGGTAGACAACTGCATAAACTGTTTGCATATTTGAGCTCATTTTTTAGGCAATAATGGAAGATTAAAAGGTGGATACAAAAGAGAATGAGTTAACTGACTCAAAATGTGTTCTAAATTTTCAAGGTAAGGGAATGGGTTGGTATGATGGATAGATAGGATTGAGCCATATGACATCATTGTGGAAGTCATGCATGGATGGGATGTGAGACTTGGTGATAGGTAGGGGTGTGCATGAGTCAGGTCGGGTCAGGTTTTTGTGCCGACTCGACCCAACTTGGTTTTTATAGGTCAGGTATTTTGACCCGACCCGCTTTAATTTGATCCAAGTCAGGTCTGACTTGGTTTTGGATTTTTTTGAACTAGTTCAGAAACGGGTCAGATATTACCTGACTTGGTTTCTGAAGTGGGTCAAATCTGACCTGACCCGTTTTTGACTTGGTTTCAAAACATGTTTTTAATTTGATTTTTTTATAGTTATTGATTTATTTTTTAAACTCATGTAATTTAATTATTTATTTGTTTTAGAATATATAAATTTTATAATGAATTTGATATTTGTTGAATAAATAAAGGAATGTAATTTTAAACCCCTGCACATGTGAAGCAAAATTAGTGAAAATTAATGAAAGTAAAGGATGAGAGATCGTTCTTCCCATCTTAAGATGACAAATCACTAATTTTAACAATACTAAAAAAGATCATATTTTCGATGAAATTTCTACGTTGCTAACGACGAAAATTTCGTCACAAAATTATTTTTTCGTCAGAATATTTTTTTGTCAAATAGCGACGGAATTTTTTCACTAATGAACATTTTTACAAAAATAAATTTTCTATCGAAATTTAGATTCCGTCAAAAATTTTGACGAAATGTTTTTCGTTGAAAATTTCATTGGGAATGTGTTCTGACGAAAATTGTTTTGAGGAAAATGTTTCATTCGAAACTTTCGACGAAATTTAGATTCTCTAAAGAATTTTGACAGAATATTTTTTCCATCAAAATTTTTCATCGAAATATTTTTTATCAAAAAAATTTACGAAATTTTTTGAGAGAAAGGTGTTCTGTTGAAAATTTTGATAGAAATGTTTTTTATCAAAAAACTTGACGAAAATATTTAGTCGAAAATTTTCGATGGAAATGTGTTTCGCTGCAAATTTCGATGAATTTATTTTTTGTCAAAAAGTTTAACGAAAATATTTCCGTCGAAATCTTTCTCCGAAATTTGAATTCTGTAAAGAATTTTGATGAAACTTTTTTCGTCAAAAAATTTCGATGGAAATGTGTTTCGTTGAAATTTTTGTTAAATAAGTTTTTTTGTGAAATAATTTGACGAAATTTAGATTCCGTAAAAAAATTTGACAAAAAAAAAAATTTCATCAAATTTTTTTACAGAAATATTTTTAGTCACAAATTTTGATGAAAATATTTTTCGTCAAATATTTTCCATAAAAAAATTTGATTTAATTGTTTTACGTTGAAATAAAAGTAATTGTGATTTTCTTTTTCTTTTTTTTCACATAATGGGTGTCGGTCAAGGTTTGGGTCAATGAGTCATTATTAAAACAAGTCAGATCTAAAACTGACCCAAATAAAAGTGGGTCAGAATTTAAAATCAGTTCAAAAAATAAGTATTTATGGGTCAGATCAAGGGCAGAACAAGTGAATCAGTTTTTTTGCACGTCGGTAGTAATAGGTGCAATGCAAAGCCAATCAATTTAGTTAGTCACGCAGGTTGACCATACGAGACTTACCATCGTACAATGACTTCGCATAGCTGACATACAAGACCAATTAAATTAATTTGGTATATTATTCAAAACTAAATTAATTCGATAATTCTTTTTTGAAAACACATTAAGAATATTAATCACCCAAAATACTCCTCTCACACGGATCACAAGCACAATCTTCAATAAATTGTAAATAATGAAAGAATTTTGTTTCCTTTTCCATCCTAAAATGTTTGTAAAAATTTATATTTTTTTCCTTTTATCATTTTATAGTATAAAAAGGGGACAAACCAGAGTAGTGGTAAAATTGTTCTTTCATGACTAAAGGGTTATGGGTTCGAATTCAAAAAACAGCATTTTTACAATTATACAAAAGTAAGGCGTACAAGGATTACCTTCGCTAGTCGGGTTTAACAGGATTGATTTTTTTTTTTTTTTTTATCATTTTATAGTATCAATGTAGAGAAACCACGACTTTTAAAAATGAAAAGTAAGAATAAATTTTTAGTATTTCTACACTATCTATTCTACCTAGTTAAATTAGAAAATAATTAATATATTTATTTCATTTATCCTGTTTGTGGTACATGGGAAAGCTGAACAAGAAAGAGAACAACAACGATATGTAAACTAAACTAACATAAATACATAATAGTAGCTGAAGTTCCTGCTATCAGCTTCTAGTAACTGGACTAGATCAAAGGGAGCAGTACTATAAGATCTAAATCTTTCACTTATTTTTTATTTATAGAGTAAATATCATTTTTGGTCCTTAATAAATTTCACGATGTTCGCTTTAGTTCCTAGCAAATAAAAAGGCTCATCGTGGTCCTAAGAAATTCAAAATAGACCCATTTTAGTCCTTTTAGGAACTAATTTAGATATTTTTTTATTTTGTGAGGGACTAAAATTTTAATTAAATGGATTCATTTTGAATTTTTTAGGGATCACGATGGGCCTTTTTATTTGCTAGGGACTAAAACGGGCATCGTAAAATTTGCTGTGGACCAAAAAAGATATTTACTCTTATTTATAATATATCGAGAATCTAATGTGTTTTAAATTGGGGTAAGTGAAATATGTAGGAGAACTAGATATAATATTTTAGAAAACGAGGAATGCAAATCATACAAAGTAAAGCACTTTGCCGAAGGCAACAACTACATGCCCAAGAAATTCTATATGAAGTATAGAAGCTTATCATGTGACTGTGCAAAACCTAACAAGTAACAAGAATAAGGGCCACCAAAAAATGAATCTAGAGAATAGGGCAATGCTAATTCATATGCAAGCCATGGCCATGGCCAAATAAGGCTTGCAAATCATGATCTCCGGACAAGAATAAAATGGCATATTTTGATAAATAAATTATTCGAATGTCATATTTATGAAAAAAATTATCAAAATACCACATTTCAAGACTTCTTATCAATTTCAGCAGGTCCAGTTTGCAGCCTGTTGCCTGAACAAGGACATGTCGTCAGAAATAGCGTAAGACTTGTTATTTTTTACAGCGGGTCATTGTCTAAGTAACACGTGACAAAATAATAACTCACCTGTATAAAAAGATATCATCTGTTTGTCACGTATCGCATGAACAATGATCCGCTGTCAAAAACATCAATTCCTAGGCTAGTTATTTCTGACGACGAGTCCTTGTTCAGACGATACGTAATGACAACATATCTTAAGCTCACTGGAACTAACAATAAGTCCTGAATACCAAACACACTTGGCACATATTGTAAGAAGTTTGTGCTCCTCAACTAGAGATCTTAAGTTTGAGCCCTGAGAATGGAGAAAAGAATCTGGGAGAACAGCCTCTCTTACCGTACACGAGAAACTAAAAAAAAAAAAAACATTAAGTTCTAATAGTGGCATTTTGACAAATTTTGTTGTGAAATATGTTGGCTGATTTATTTCTCAAAATATGTCATTTTTGTTTTTATCCCTTATCCCTCCTCCTTAAAAATTCTATCATATTTAAGAAATTTAAAATAAAAACAAACTCTACAATGCCAAATGTGAAAATGCAAAGGCCAACAAAATAAAAAGGCCCCACGAGTAGAGGCGGCGACCACCGTGGCTGGAGTTAGTCTCCGGCGACGACATGGTGGCGGAGCCATTGTAATTGGGGTTAGTGCCGTAGAGGTATTGAATCCCCTGTATATCATCCTCCGCCAGCAACACCTTCTTCGTCCGCGACGATATCGTCGGAAACATGATCGCCTCCTTCACCGACGAGTGTCCAAGCCCCAGCAAATGCCCAATCTCGTGCACCGCCACCGATTCCAAATCAACCGCCGTCGACAGCGCCGACTTCGTCGCGTCGCCGGAAACCACCCAATCCTCGGCGGCGTCCAGGTGGAACCTCCCGTTCGTCGGCGAGAACGCGTGCGCCAGTGTTCCCAAAATCCCGTCGAACGGCTCGCTGTCGCCGTGGTCACCGCTGAAGAACCCGATCCTAATGTCGGCTACAAAATACGACACCGTTTCCCGGAACTTCAACGTCGTTACCTCCGACCACCGCTCGAACGCGGCGGCGAACACGCCCTTCACGGCGTCGCTCAAGTCGTTACCGGGAAAGAACGCATACGTCAGCTCCTGCGTTCCCTCCGGCCACCGCGGCTGGCCAGGGAACAGAGTGAAGTGCGAGACCGTGTGAAACCGCGGCTTGCTGTTCCCAAACGAAGTAGTTTCGTTCACCTTGCCGGCGTTCATGGTGGTGGTGCCGTTGATGATGTCAGCAACGCCGCATCGCGGCAAGACGATCTGCTGGAGAGTCTCATCATCGAGCTCGCCGGTGACGTTGAGGTTGAAGTTCTTCTGGTAGGCTTTGATGGCTGATTCGAGCGCATCGTCGAAGTCGTCGGAGAAGTTAAACGGCGGCGCGTGGAGGATGTAGCCGAAGCGATGGAAATAACTTTTAAGATTGGAGAGGCCGTCGTACTTATCTCCGTGGTGGCAGCCGGTGAAATTGCGGAAGGCGTCCCACGCGCCGCCGGGGGTCACGGCGGCGGGTAACCAGGAGGAGACGTTGGGAAGCAGTCGAGCTGAAACAACGGCGGTTGTTAGAGAGAAGGAAATTGCGAAAGCTAAGATGAGATGATGAGGTTGGGGTTTATTCATGTTTGGTTGGTGAGAAAATGGAATGGGATTCCGGGAAAGTTGAGGAGTGGAGTGAGAGTATAAGAAGCATTGAGAGGTGCATCTCAAGTCTTCGTTTAGGTCCTTGTTGATGTGATGAGCTTTGAAAAATTTGTGCTTCTTCTGTGTGAAAATTCTTACCGTACCTGGTTAGTACTTTGAAAATCAACGCCAATGGAAACTTCCGCATTATGCTTTGTTCGGTACACATTTTAATTTATGTGTTGTATGATGATTTAGGTGCTATTTTAGGGATAATGCTAGTCTTTTAATTCTTTGTCGTTGTCAGTGCAGTTGTTTAAAGGAAGGGTTTTATAAGAGTTATGTTGTAGGAAAAGTGATTGTGTAATGTTATAGAGATTCGTTTTGCGTGCCTTAATTTTTTATTTATTTTTTTGTTTTAAAAAGTGTGGGCCCCACAAAATGTTGTGAGAGTAGGAAAGTTTGTTGTGTTATGTTAAAGGATAAAACGAAAACCCTTAAAGGAATTAATGTTTTTGCATGATAATTTTCTATGAAATGTGAAAAAATATATGATATAGTCATCTGAAAAGTTCACAATAGTAATATAAAAGTAAATTAATAGTTATGATTTTGTAATTATCTATTATAATATTGTTTCTTTCTTTTCTTTTATTACCATTGATTTACCTTTATATAGTTATGATTTTTTACATGATCATATTATTATTTTTTTCACATAAGAAAATCCAGATCCGAAAATATATATACATAAAAGTATATGAAGCTTATTTTTTTTTTTTCTATTTCTTTTTTTCACATTCACATAAATGTTATATATTTTTGTGTATGTATAAATAAAGGGTTTGGTGTTTGTCTGTGTTATTAAACCCGGACCGACCCGGTCGTGTCGACCGGGGTTCTGGTGACCCGATGAGGTCACCGGTTCAGTTTAGTTATCAGACCCGGCATGCAATTAGCCCCTTATGACCCATGCAACTTGTCCGATTTTTTTCGGAACCCGGTGACCCGCAGGGTCTAATGAACCGGTACGGGTAGCTTGTTCGTGTGGAAGATGCATCAGCACAATCCCATTTGCAAAAAATGAAGAAAAAAAAATTCATAACTTTCAGTAATCCAAACAACACCCACATGATTTTGAAACATACCCTTCACTCCCTCCCCAAAAGGAACGATTTTGAAGCCATTTATGCAACTGGGTAGGTACAAGCAATTATCTCTTACGGCAAAAAAGTGGCAGAAATGAAATAGAGATGATGGAGAACTGATGAACGAGGAAGATGAAAACAGGGAACAGGAGCAACACCAACAAAAACAATAACCATCGCCATTTTGCAAAGTAAAGTAAAGAAACAATGCGGCAAAACAAAAAGTCGTCTTTAATCGGATGGAAAAGCTTGAGATGTAGAGGCTGTGAGTGGAAAACGAAAGGTGAGGGAAGATAAGAAATTGCAATATAGATTCCCGATCTTTCCAAGTGGTTTCTGTATGCTTCTTTCTTTCACTTTTGGGCTTATATATCTATGGGCTTTAAACTTAGTAACATTTACTAACAAAGGCAAATGTTTGTTGTAGCAAAAAAATTAAAAAAAAAAAGAAAGTAATTGTTGCACCATACACTTATTAATTCCCAAGCCAAATCTAGGGCACTATTTTTTTTTTCTATTAATATATTGATTAATTATTAACTTATAAAAATATAATTAGGTAATTTTTGAGTTTACTCAGTGAATTTTGTTTTAGTTATTTTTGATATGGAAAATATTTTAAATATATATATATATATATTTATATCTGTATCCGGGTCAACCAGTTCAACCCGTGATCCACCGGTTCAACCAGTGACCCAGTACCTAGACCGGGTCGATGCCCGTGCCGGGTTTAATAACACTTTGTCATTTTAAATGGCATAAGTTATGTCATTTTAGAAGAAAGATAGACACAACAAAATGGAAATCATGAAATAGAGTAAATGAGTGGTTTTTTAATTTAAAATTTAAATTAAAAAATTTATTTTGTGTCTATCTTTCTTTTAAAATGACATAACTTTATGTCATTTAAAATAACAAACACTTTTTCCATGTATAAAAGATAAAATTATTTTGTAAAATACGAGAAATACGAATCCCTTCTTTAAATTGGTGAATCAATTACACTGAAATAATTAAGATGAGTTTCAAAATCGTTTTACTCTGTAAATCAATTTCCTTTCCAAATGGCGCCCTCAGCCTCTACCCTTTATCTTTAAGAAAATTTTTTAATTAGATAAAAGAGTAAATATCTTTTTAGTCATCTGTAAATTTTACGATGTTCGCTTTAGTCCCTAACAAATAAAATGATTATTCGAGGTCCCTACAAAATTCAAAGTGAATTCATTCTAATCTTTTTGAGAGACTAATGTGGATCTTTTTTTAAATTTGTGTGGGATCACAAATTTTAACTAAATGAGTTTATTTTAAATTTCTTAAAAATTACGAAAAGCCTTTTTATTGCCTAAGAATTAAAGCATGTATCGTGAAATTTGCGAGCATAAAAAAAAAATATTTATTCTAGATAAAATAATTTCAAAGAAGAGAGAAAAAAACGAGGTTGAGTTGTTGAACAGATTCAAGCAATGCTGGCGGCGGCAACTGTCATGATCTTCTGACACGTGGGTGAAGCTTAGTGGGTTGAGCTTAAAAGTGTAACGATCGGATAATTTCTAACTTACTTCCAAAATATTACTTAATGGGAGAGATTTACAATCTCTTACTATTAATTTTATAATTATTAAATCAAAATCAAATTAATAAAATAATTGTAAAGTGTTACAAAGAAAAAGAAATTGTAAGTATAATTCTTCTCTTATTTTAAATAATTTTACAGTTATCTATATTTTATTTTATTATATTTTTTTAAGAAGAGACTTTTTTTTCATTTTATTGTATAATCTATAATTTTAAATAGACTTTTTCTTTCTTTTATACTTCGTGATGTTAAAATAGTGTCAATTGTATAAATGGTTTTGAATGTAACTTTTTCTTTACGCAATGAAGTCAATAATAATGTATTCTGTTGACTTATATTGAATGTTATAATACCTATTTGAAAAGAGAATTTTTTTCTCTTACCTTAATAACTAACACCTCAGCTTTTCTGTCATGTTCTAGTTTAATTAATGAAGAAGGGACATCATGAACTGTAAACGGGGTCCATTTCACAACATCCTTCACTTACAGAAGTTTATATATTTTTGTAACATTACTTAACTTTATATATCTTCAGTACTTACCATTTTTCATCAATAATAAGATAGGCATAATGCCACCTCCTATTGGTGTCATAATTGGTATCTGCATGCGCAACAAAAATGGAAAGTTGGAAACCTCGATTTTACAATGTTCAATTGAAGTACTACAGAAATTTATTGTTGTCTTAGTTTACAGTTTTAGCTATCCGCATGGCATCATCAATGCATCATGTCTTACGTTAGAAATCAGAATGTTCCGTAACAATAGTATTTCCGTAGTGCCAAATGGTCAAACATGGACGAGCACAATTTGAAACATTTCTTTTTATGATCCTACGGGCCTTTTCCAAAGAAAAGATAGAGACAATTAAGGCATTGTCACCTCTAGCTAAGAGACTACGATCAAGATAATAACATTTCTGGAATAGTGATCATTGTGCCACTGTTTCAACTATTGTGTCACTGTTTCAAGACTTTTTTTACTTAAATACCACGTCTACGGACTATTTTTCCAAACTACCACGCAAACAAGTTCGCCCAGGACTGTAGCGAACTCTGTATGATGATGTGTCAACTTTCTGGTGGACAAGTAGTTCGCTACAGCCTCCAGCGACCTATGTTGCAATTAATGCCTCACCTGTTAGGTCACGTGACTTGCATGCAACAGAGGTCACTGACATGCACGAAATTCGCTGGGGGACAGCAAACTTGATGTAACGGTTACATTTCACAGCCCTATATAAACCCACCCCCTCCCCCTCCCCCTCCCCTCAGCCCCTCCTATTTTCTTGTCTCACTCTCCTCCATTCTCAATTTTCTTTCTCTCTCGTTTCCATTCTTTGTCTTCATTTGAGGTTAGTCATTTATGATTTCATTAATTTTTTTTAAGTTTTTTATTGTTATTTAATTGTTTTGTTAATTATATTATATGTAAAATGAAACATTAGGTTAGATGACATATCATTTGTTTTATTATTTTAATTAGTTTAATATTAGTTTAGTAATTACATTGTTAATAGTTAAATATTTTATAGTTTAATTAATCTATTTAATAAATTGTTTTATATGCATTATTTATTTATAAGATTTAGGTTAAGATAATTTTTAGGGTTAATGTTGATGAAACATTAGGTTAGATGACATATTATTTGGTTTATCATTTTAATTAATGTAATATTAGTAGTTTAGTAATTGCATGTTAATGTTAGTAGTTAAATATTTTATAGTTTAATTAATCTATTTAATAAATTGTTTTATATGTATTATTTATTTATAGGATTTAGGTTATATTTTTATATTTTAATGTTAAATTTTTTATTTAATAATTTTTTAATTATGCAATGAATAATAATATTGAAATCAAATAAACTATATAATAGTTCTAGGATTGAAAAATAGGTTAGAAAATTTTGAACATTGGCATATAATATGTATGTTAATCTTATTAGGTATAGTACTTTATATTAATGTATTATTTAATAATATTAATTGTTTGATATTATTTATAGAGTTGAAATGTAAGTTAGAAAATAATTATTTTAATGTTGTTAAATAAAATCTTAATTATGCAATAATTAAGATATTTGAATTAAATAAAATTATTTAGTTATAGGATTGAAAAATAAAGGTGAGAAAAATTTTAATGGTGATGGCAGCGCACTGTGCATGGGTGTCAACATTTATTGCAACCAAGTTCGCCTGTGTCAGAAGCGAACTCCTGCACCACCGGGAAGCTGACACATCAGATACCTAGTTCGCTACTACTCCCAGCGAACTTGCCTGCGTGGCAGTTTGGGAAAATAGTCCGTAGGCGTGGCATTTAGGTAAAAATGTCTTGGAACGGTGGCACAATGGTCACTGTTCCAACATTTCTTTCTTATTGTTGAACATTATATTATACCCGAAAATTGTGGTTAGAATTTAGAAATTTGGGGCAATGTCGATTCTAGCTGAACGTTTATGTTCAAGATTAGGGATGTGCATGGGTCGAATCGAACCGATTTTTTTGAAAACCAAACCGAATTAGTTTAAATGGTTCGGTTCGGAAGTGGTTCGCTTCGGTTCAAAACTGGTTCGGTACGGAAGTTGTTCGGTTCGGTTGGAAACGGTTCGGTTCGAAATCGGTTTGGAAACGGTTCGGTTCGAAACCGGTTCGGGTCGATCCTCTTTTGAAATGAAAAGAAATTTAAAATTTAAAAAATAAAGTTATAAAAATCAATTTGGTTCGGTTTGAAAATGGTTCGGTTCGGAAACGGTTCGGTTCAAAATGAACTGAAAATAGTTCGGTTCGAAAACGGTTCGGTTCTTAAACTGGTTCTAAAATCTGGTTCGGTTCTTAAACTGGTTCTAAAAACCGGTTCAGTTCATGAACTGGTTCTTTGAAAACCAGTTCGGTTCATGAACTGGTTCTTTAAAAACCGGTTCGGTTCATGAACTGGTTTTTTAAAAACCAGTTATTTTAAGGGACGGTTCGATTTGGTTCATAATTCGGTTCAGTTTTTTGGTTATTTTGCACATCCCTATTCAAGATGACAGTTTTCTCCCGTTCAACTAAGGGAAAATCCAATCTACAAGACTACTTTAACTTTGTGAAAGTAAGGAGTAAAGGTCAATTCAATTGTATGCAACTCAAACACGTGTTCTTTCAGTTAAAAAAAAAACACACAAAACAAAAATAGAAGCAGAAGACAAAAGACTATTAAAAGATCATTCGATTACAAAACCTTTTTATGACTCGAAATTTTTCCGGAAAAACCTGATGGGCCACTAGAGCCTTTTATGCAGTATTATAAAAGAAGGAATTCAAAAGCAAATTCAGCCCAACAAGACAATAAGGATCAAGTCAGCAAAGGGATAGAGAATCAGAAGGTTTCGGTGGGATCTCAGCTATTGGGTCCAAACCCAAGTAACAACAGTAAAGAAGAGGAGGAGATAATTCAAAGCACAAGCAAAGAAATGAAGTTAGTTACGCACATGAGCATAGAGGACAGCTGGCAGCTGCTGAATGGCCAAAAGGAAATTGGGGAGCCAAAGAACGTGATGGGAAGTTAGTTATAATGGGAATGAAAACAAAAAAAGGGCAGAGAAATATTCATCATCTTGGAGAGAGGGGATAGGGGTTCTCTGCAACAGGTTTTGTTGTAGAGGCAACTGGGAAAATTGAGTGGTATACTCGTTTCCTTAAGGGTGTGTTTGGTACAGGAGAAATATTTTGGTGACCGAGAATCATGATTAATGGGAATTCCGTAGGAATTGAGTTTACTTGGAATCTTACGAAAGAGGTGTTTGGTTCGCCAAAATATTACCGGGAATATTGGGTAAAAAGTACTGATTCCATATTTGGTTTAGAACGAAATATGACTTGAGATATGAGGTTATTTTACAAAAATAACCCCAAACTATTTTTACTTTTGTAATTGATAGATTGGGTCTAGATTTTTATGTTTATTGGGGTATTTTTGTCTCAAAATTTATTGTTGTGCTTTCCCTTTTGCTTGGTATTATGATTGGTATTCCGAATTACAATATTATTTTTGGTAATCTGAATAGTGACTTTTTTTTATAAATCAAATTACCGGTAATCCTTGGATATCCGGGAATCGTAATTTATTCCTTCTACCAAACGTGGTAATTACATTTACCAAAGAATGATTACCGGTAATCCTCTTCAAAAACTTGAAACAAACACCCCGTAAGAGTCTGTAATAACTTTCTGGTAGCCTTTAGTTTGCTTTACTGTTGGAGTCTGTAGTTGCAAAGCAATATTGAGTCTGGGTAATTGTTAATGGGTTCGCCTTTTCTGCAGTTACTGCAGATAAGTTATCTGCAGTAAGCCTAATACGACGTCGTTTTAGGCGAAAATCATGGTGTATTTATAATTTTAATTTATTTCAGGGTTATAATAGTCTTTATATTTATAATTTTTTAAGATTTCAATACCAAAACGACGTCGTTTGAGGAATAAATGTAGATAAGTTATCTGCATTAACTGCAGAAACATTTTTCCCTTGATTAATATAAGTGATACAGAGGTATTTCAGATAATATTACACTGTTGTGATTGCGTTTGCTGTTAAACCATAGATAGAAATATGTCAACCCATTATTATTCAATAGGTGCCATCAAAACCATCTTGGAATTGCGAGTCAAAGATGAACCACATGAACCATATCATGACATAAAAAGATGAAATAATGAAGGGTTTTCTCCCCAAAACGTTTTTGGTAGATTGGACATAAACATAAATTACATAGGGTTGTTTGCCGTGCTTCATGTTGTCGAGCAGCTCTAGGCTCAAGTGATTATCAGTCATGTTCATTGTCCATTTTTCATATATTTTATAGTGCATCTGTCACTGCAAAGATCACTTATCTATGAGCTTGTCTACAATAAAACCCCCCATCATCATTTGCAAGCATAATCTTATTGTCTTTATATCCTCTGATCAGCTAAACACCGCTCTTCACTAAGTAGGAAGACTATGCATTTAGTTAGACCAAGCAACAGAATCAGATGACAGAACCTGCATAACAAGCAATATAACAGACCTGTATTGAGGTATTGCCATTGCAGCCACCACAATTTCTATTGCATTATTGGGCAGTGGATCTGAGAGTGCGAGATTACAAGTTTTCACTTTTCAGCTAATCCAACTCTCCATTATGATTTGCCTGGTTATGTTAGTCTCTGGTTTCTCCTTTGTGAATGTCAGTTTAGATATAGGCCAAACGACTCAACATCACCATACGAGCTGTAAAGCAGTTTGCTTGTCTTCATGAAGATTGAGTAACAATCTTTTACAGTTTTTTTTTTTAATATTAATTATACTTGACTATCAAGCTGTAGATACACATTGCCTTGTGAGTTGTGACCCGTGGTTTATAGACAATTTTACAACAACAAAGTAGCTGATGCCTTAAGTTTAATTTAACAGGCAATTCAAAATAACAAGTGATGGAAAAAAGATGGATCTAACATTGAGAAGGCCTATCATAAGTTGGAGGAAGAGAAGGGCAGTACTCATTCATGTTGGCATATGGCTCCAAGGTGTTATACCCAGGAAGTTCCATCCTATATTCGCCAAGAATCTGGCAGAAAGGAAGCCGGTCACTCTCATTGTTGCACCAACTTGGTAGGCGTGTTTGGTTATCCTCAAAAATTCTGAGCATGTATGCATCACGAATCTGCAAATAACAACACAGAAACATTAGAACAAGCAATTATAATGTCCGACTGTTCATTCAATTACAGAGACATTATCATGACTTACAGTGAACTCAGTTACTTGAATGGAGTTAGAAATGGGACCAAAAACTCCAGCTTCTTTATACATTGAAAGAATAAAGGCAACACATGTTGTTGATTTCCCATCACTGTATACCCATTCATCTTGTTCTGGAATGGTGAGTAATTGATCAAAAGGTATCCCACGCTTCTCAGTCTCTACTATAATATCATGCAAATCCAAACCCTGCAAGCATAAAAAATGAGAGATCCCATTAACTATGAAAGAAACAACCAGTGTATAGTTCAGCAAAATATGCCACCAGCGTTCCTGCCATTCTAATAAATAAATTGAACGCCGTGATATCTTCAGCATAATTTTCCCATGAGGAACTACTTAAACATTTAATCCTTAGGAAAGAGCAAAATACAAACTTAAAAGAAATTTATACAAAACAAGCATATCCTATATAATCACAGACGTATAACTCACAAAATGCCAAATCCAGAAGGTTAACAAACTTGAAAGATTTCACACTTGATCAAAACATTTACATATTGAAACAAAGTCAAAGCATTTTGTGAAGAAGGCCCCTATAGAACAACATTGCATCAATATGAAAAAGGAAGTTCTGAACTAAAACTAAAAGGCATGTAGAATTTTCATTTCGAATATTTAGTAATTATTGAAAAGCACAAGTCAGAGAAAATGATAGAAAGTGAAAGTGAGAGAGAGAAAGGAAGAGAAAGAGAGAAAGATCTGAATGTGAACGTGTATTTTCTATTCTGATTAAAAGATGGGTACATGCAATGTGTTGTCCTGTATATAAAGCTATTACACAACGGTTGATCTGTTGTAACAAACTAGAGACACGTATCCTGTACACCAAAGCTACAGTAAGCTCACTTAGGACTATATTCTTACAGTCAGGGCCCATAAGGCCCATTACAATATGTACATACATAGAGCCCACTACAACAACTACAGAGCTACTAAAATAAACTCCATATATGCTAATAGCCCCCCTCAAACTCCGGGGTGGTGGAGAAACAAATGTGTGTCCACAACCGTGAGTTTGTCTCTCAAAGAAGCAAAACGAGATGCTGATAAACTCTTGGTAATGGTGTCAGCTATCTGATCCAGAGCTGGAACATGGAAGACAAAAACGTCTTTAGCAAGAACTCGTTCACGAACAAAGAAAATGTCCAATTCCATATGTTTGGTTCTTGCATGTAGGACTGGATTGTGTGATAAAGCAACAGTGCTCATATTATCACAATATATGTGTGGAGTGTAAAACTGAATATTCAGTTCCTGAAGTAAAGATTTGAGCCAGAGGACTTCAGCAGTGGCAAGAGCAAGGCTGCGGTATTCTGCTTCTGTGCTTGATCGAGCAACAAGGTGTTGCTTTTTGGACCACCAAGATATTAAATTGGAACCAAAGAATACACAAGCTCCCGAAGTTGAACGATGATCATCAGGGTCACTAGCCCAATCTGCATCACAAAATGCAGTAACCGTGAACAGCTGGCTGGGATTAGATGGTTTAAGAACCATTCCATGATACAAGGTGCCTTTTAGATAACGAAGAATGTGTTTGACAGCAGACCAATGCTCTTCAAGAGGTTGGCTCATAAATTGACAAGCCTTGTTAACAGCATAACTGATTTCTGGTCTAGTGAGAGTAGCATATTGCAGAGCCCCAACAATTGATCGATAGAAAGAGGGATCTGAGAAGTAATTGGAGCCATGCTTAGAGAGTTTGCACCCTGAAGGAAGAGGAGTGGAGATGCCTTTTGCTTCAGCCATCTTAGCCTTGTGAAGCAGATCACGAATGTATTTGGATTGGGAAAGCAACAAGGCACCTGAAGAAGCTTCTTCACTTCTATGCCAAGAAAGTAATCTAAATCTCCAAGATCTTTAAGTGCAAAATAAGAGTGCAGCTGCTGGATAAGAGACTGAATAAACAGAGAATCACCACCAGTGATGATAATATCATCCACATAAATCAGTAAAAACACACACTGAGACTGTCCTCTGTAAAAGAACAAAGAGGGGTCACATTTGCTTGCTAAAAAACCCAGCTGCAGTAAGGCCCCTCTTAGTCTGTCAAACCAAGCTCTTGGAGCCTGTTTTAAGCCATAAAGAGCTTTATGTAACCTGCATACAAGAGATTTGTCAGAAGATTCAAAGCCTGGAGGTTGTTTCATGTACACTTCTTCCTCAAGAATGCCATTTAGGAAGGCATTATTTACATCTAATTGCTTAATGGGCCAGCCAAAAGAGATAGCAATAGTGAGAATGGTTCGAATAGTAATTGGTTTAACAACCGGGGAGAAGGTTTCATTATAATCAAAACCTTCTTGTTGATGAAACCCTTTTGCCACCAACCTAGCTTTGTATTTGTTGATAGTACCATCTGGATTTTCCTTCACTCTAAATACCCATTTGCAGCCTATGGCTTTTCTGTTTGGGGGTAGAGAAACTAAGGTCCATGTAGAATTATTGAGAAGAGTAGTGAATTCTGCTTCCATGGCAGGGAGCCAATTGGGGCTGGTTAAGGCTTGCTTAACAGAATTTGGTTCAAGAGAAGTAAGAAAAACTTGAGGTCTCATGGCAGTTTTAGAGCGTGTGAGAATAGAACGAGTGGGAGGAGAAATTAAGACATTAGAATCTGAATGGATGTATTCAGAACCTGAACTAATGGAAGAGGAGGATGAAGCACTTGAAGGAGAAGGAGAGGCTGCAAGTGAGGCTTGAGATGCTGATGACTGACCAGGGGAGTGTGCAGGGGTTGTATTCAAGTCTGGAGACACTGGTGACTGAATGAGTGAGTCAGTTGAGTCAGTTTGCTGAACAATATTCTGGGAAGTAGTATCTGCAGCAGAACTAGCATTAGGGATAATGGCAGAATCAGTGTTAGAAGCTTTATATGATTCAACTAGAGGAATGGAGCTGGACACAGAGAAGGAATTGGTGGGTAATGTTGTTGTAAGCTTTGAATCAAACCAAGAGGAGTAGGGAAACTTGGTTTCATTAAAAAGGACATCCTTGGAAATGAAAATTCTGCCACTGGAGCTGAGACACTGGTAACCTTTGTGATTAGGTGAGTATCCAAGAAATATGCATTCACTGCTTCGAAAGTCAAGTTTATGTTGATTATAGGGTCTTAAAAAGGGGAAGCATGCACACCCAAACACTTTGAGGAATTTATAGTCAGGAGGTGTCTTGTTTAACTTTGTGAAGGGAACTTCAAAGTTCAGAGCTGCTGTAGGAAGACAATTTATTAAGTACACAGCAGAAATAAAAGCATGATCCCAAAATTTCATTGGGAGAGAGGCATGAGCAAGAAGGGTTAATCCAGTCTCTACAATGTGCCTGTGTTTTCTTTCAACAACCCCATTTTGATGATGGGCATGTGGGCAAGTAATTCTGTGAGTGATTCCTTGCTGTTTTAGAAGCTGTTGAAATGTACAGTACTCTCCTCCCCAATCTGTTTGGAGAGCCTTGATGGTAGATTGAAACTGGTTTAGGACAAGGGCTTGAAAGTGTGTGAAGACTTGCAGGGCTTCTGATTTTAGTTTTAATGGATAAATCCAAGTAAATCTGGTGTTAGCATCCACAAAGGAAATATAATAGGTGAAACCCATGGTGGATTTGATGGGAGCTGGACCCCAAAGATCACTATAAATTAGATCAAAAGGTTTATCATATGTCTTACTAGAAGAAGGAGAGTGAAGTCTGTGTGATTTACCCAAACAACAAGCAGAACAGAAATCCAAGTCAGTTTTATTAGGAATAGGAAGCTTCCAAGAGTTTAGTACAATTTTCAGAGCCTCACTATGAGGATGACCTAGGCGACAATGCCACAAGAAGTACATGTAATTGGAAACTACAGGTTCTGAGAATCAGAAGTACTATTCTGTATACAAGTTGGAGTGGAGCCAGTAAATGAAGTAGAACTAGAGCTAGAAAGATCAGAATTACAAAGTAAGACAGAATTACTAGAGCTAGAGTCTAGTGCAAGCTGCTGACTTGGACAATGTGAAAGTTGAAGACCACTGAAGCGATACAAGCCATCTGTCCCCAGTGTACCTTCCACAAGGACTTCATGAGATACCTGGGATTTAACACAACAAGTAGACGGGTGAAATTCAAAATAAACTCCATTGTCACGAGCAAACTGACTCACACTGACCAAATTTTTGGTTATAGAAGGCACAAGAAGTAAATTGCGAAGATGTAAATTAGTGTGTGGTTTCAAAGGTGAAGAAAAGAAGGAAGAACCAGTGGCTTTGACTTGCAAACCTTGACCATTTCCTAAGAAAATTTGATCAGCACCAGATAATTGAGTGCTTTGCAAAAGATTATTAGGATTGGCCGTGACATGATGAGTGGCTCCTGAATCTGGATACCACTCCAGTGCTTGAACGGTTGGTGGTGTTGGAAGAAGACCTTGGCCTTGATGAGTTAGAGAGGTAGCATTAATCTGAGGATTGAAATGTGGCTGAATCAGATTCTGTGTCTGAGTAGTGGTTAGCATTGCTTGTGGTGGATTGATCTGAGGTCTAACATACTGAAATGACCTCTGAAAGTGAACTGGAGGGGAAGAATTGAAATATTGAGGTTCTTCAGGTGGAGGAATTGTAGGAACAAAGCTATCATCAAATCTATACCAGCAACTTTGTACTTGATGACCAAACTTGTAACAAAGTTAGCATTGAACATTTCTTCCTCCACGACCTCTTCCTCTAAAATTTCGGCCAAAACTTCTTCCTCTGCCTCTTCCTCTTACATTTGAGCTATAGTCATTCTGAATGCTTGTGGTTTGATTCTGGTTGAGATCAACTTCAGCAAGTGCAGATCTGTTCATAGATGCATCTTTCTGATTATTGACTTGAAAGGATTTTTGTGCTACATCAACGGACATTGATTCTGACAATAGAGCCTCATTCTGCTTCATTAACATCATTTCATGTGACAAAAGCTCAACTCTTAAATCATCAACAGAGTAAGGATTTTCTCTTGCTCTCACTGAGGCTACAAAGGCATTAAACTCTGCTGGTAGGCCATCCAGAATGATTTCAGTTTGCTCCTCTATTGAACAAGGATTTCTGATCGCTTTAAGCTCATCACATAGGGATTTGATGCGTTTGAGATACTCAGAAACTGATCTTCCACCTTTCTTGATAGTGCGAAGTTCATATCTGAGTTGTCTTGACTTGGATTTCATCATACCATGGAAGAATTTATGTATTTTCTCCCAGGCCTCATGTGCATACTGAACTCCAACAATTTCATTTGCTACATCTTCTGAAATCGTTGAAAAAAGCCACGATAACAACATCTGATCTTGACGTAACCATGTTGTATATTCAGCATTCACTATGCCTCCAATACGATCTTGTTCTGACAGGTACTGAAGCGGAATTTTAGGATTAACAAGAAAAGAGTGAAGCTGATGAGAGGTTATTACCGGATCTACTATTTGATTCCAAAGTAGATAGTTCGTTTCAGTGAGCTTTACACAGATCTGATGATTGAACAATGACGGAGGTTTGTTATCTGTTGATGCATCACAGTTGTGCGTTGATGCATCGCGACTTGGCTGTGTTGACGACGCGGAAGACATGGTGAAAGATCTTTGTATCAGGCCCTCAAAGAGAGCTCTGATACCATCATAGAAAATGATAGAAAGTGAAAGTGAGAGAGAGAAAGGAAGAGAAAGAGAGAAAGATCTGAATGTGAACGTGTATTTTCTATTCTGATTAATAGATGGGTACATGCAATGTGTTGTCCTGTATATAAAGCTATTACACAACGGTTGATCTGTTGTAACAAACTAGAGACACGTATCCTGTACACCAAAGCTACAGTAAGCTCACTTAGGACTATATTCTTACAGTCAGGGACCATAAGGCCCATTACAATATGTACATACATAGAGCCCACTACAACAACTACTGAGCTACTAAAATAAACTCCATATATGCTAATAACAAGAAACAAACTATAAGGTCATTGGAAAACCTAAACCTCAAAGAATTATCAACTTCTTAATGAATTCCTTTTATTATTTATATATAAAAAGAAATAAAGAAAGACTACAATATTTTGATCAAATGGATGCTCTTCACCACACTAGAAGGTTTAAACCATCGCCAAGACATACCTCAGTCCCTAACCGCTTATTCAATGCTTCATTCCACATATTTGCAGAATAAGCTGGCTGCAATCTAGTCCACATAGACATGACAGAAATTACCTGCACAGAGAACATGCCATTCAGAATCAGACCTCCATCGCACTTCAAGTCTGAACCTACAAGTTAATAATAAACACACTTTTTAAGTTGATGTCTCTTTTGTATTTGAGATGCACAGGGGCAAATGGAGGGTAGGGAATAGTTGCTTCATGAGCTGCTAGATTCAGAATTGCAGAAATACAGGGAAGAATGCACAAAGATTTTCCATTAAGGGCAAACCCCCAGTACACAAGGCTCCCCAACTTGCGAGGGTAGGGGGAGGGTCGACTGTACGTAGCCTTATCCTTGCATTTTTGCAAAAAAGCTATTTCCCAAACTCGAATCCGTGACCTTTCGATCACAAGGAGCAACCTTACTGCTGCTCCAAGGCTCGCCCTCAAAGCCTTTCCCTTCTAAGAGAGAGAAAAAAAAAGAAAAAAGAACATGTACATATCACTATCAAAGCAGTAAGTGAAACATCACCAAAACCCTTAATGCCAGCAATGTCCTTCCATCCTATTTTCATCTTACTTTTCTGTGTCTCTCTAACAGTAGGTTGCTTTCTAAAGCCAAAACACTAACTATTTCTACCCCAGGCTGTTTTCCACTTACAATTCAAATTACCTTCAAGGCTTTAGCAATCAGTTCAAATTTAATTATTTCATAAAATATACAGTAGTCTACTGAGGAAAACAGCATGTTGTTCACACAATCACTGGTTCAATTGTATACTTATGAATTACTATACATTTAACTAATAAGTAATAAGTAAAAGTTTAATACCAAGTGAGCATCAAGAGGTGGAGGATAGTTGTCAGCTACAGTGTCAATCCAACTGAATATCATGTTGTGATAACCATATGGCTTGCCAGACATGCTCCGAGCATACTCCCACGCTGCAGTGGAGTTAAATTTTGCACGCACTTCTGGATGCAGGGGAAGCAAGGCAATCTGTGGATTGGAACTATCTTTAAGAGCCAATTCCCACCATTCATCCCATGGAATTACCACTATTATTTCTTCACCCTGCACAAAGACATACCATGAAGATAAGATAATCCTGTTTTATGCTGCTATGATCAACTAAAATCAAACAGAGGTGAGTCACCACCCTCAGCAACCATGAAGCAATTATAAAAATTCCAGTTCACCAGGCATTACATGATTACATGAATTAAAAAAATGGCAGCCTGATGCTATAAAACTACTATTATGTGCACGGTCTAGGGAAGGGTTAGACCCGTTGTGCGGGTCTAAAATAAACAGCCTTACCTTGCATTTGCAAAAGGCTGATTACATGAATCAAACTTATGACCTCCGGATCACGTGCACACAACACCAACCTCAGGGTTACATGATTACATGAATCATTTTAGAACAACTTCATGATGTTTTATACCTTCTCATTCTCATGCCCAGATTCACCAACCCATAAATCACCCATCTCATCCTTCAAGCAAACTGCAGTATGACCAGCAAATGAACCAGTCACCCACTTTTCCAGTGTCTCAAAACCTCCCCACCTGCCACGAATCTTCGACACAGCCAAGAAATCTCCCGAATGAACATCTGCAGGATCAATAGTCGCACGCCAAGGCCCACCGCGTTTCTCAAACGTAGCCCCCATGTGTTTCTTCAAAAACTCTAGGTTAGCCTTCTGACCCCATACAGTGTTAGAAAATAAAGGCAAAACATCAATCAGAGAAAGCAACGTTCCCAGCATCCCAGATGGCATCAGAAACACAGAAACGCCATGCTGCTTCACCTGTTCAATTCAGTAACAAAAAGTACAACTTCAAAATTGTATTACAATTCACAACCATAAGATTTAAACAAAATATAGAACTAATAAAAATAAATAAATAAATAAATACATATTCCAACTCAGCAGGCTCTTCCCATGAGTCAAACTTCAAGGTATGTTCTCGTGAAGAGAAGTAATAGTCCCATGTAATCCTATAAGGTGTTGCAAACACATATAGATCCATACATGTCCAGCTATGTGCAGCCTCTGTCTGTAAAAGAACAACAACAACAACAACTATTTTATTTTATTTTAAAAAATTAGAGATTAATGTTTCTCCTATAATATGAAAATAACTTTATCTTCAGCACTCATGTGCAAGAGAGTGAAGTCATCTGAGGAAAGAATAGAGAAACATCAAAAACAAGTCTCACCCACTTTCATTTTCATGTAAATACATAAGTTAAAGTTATCTTGCAAGATAAACATTATTCTCTTAAAATAATAAATCAAAACTTTCCAAAAAAAAATAAAAAAGTGGAAACCTTGAGATAGAGAATGGCACCACCCAAAGGTGTTTCATCATCATGATCATCATCATTGTGAGGCATGGTGAGTTGAAGTTTGGCTTTGTTATCATAAAAGCAAGCACCTTTCCATTGAATGGAGCCATTGGTGGGAGTAACAGAGCCAACGAAATAAGGGAGCAAATCAACGGCACTGTGCAAGTTATTGAGAACAGGCCATGATATCCCGCGTGGCAGAACGGGAAGCACGTCGTTTACTCTAAACGGCACCTTCAGAGCATGTCCCAACCCAGAACCACACCCTAACCCTATAATAATCAACACCCATGGCACCATAAATAAACACAGGGAACGACGAATAGGCGACATGAGTTTTGAAAAATAGGGGGGAATTTCCGGGTTCACTCTCTGAGGAATCGAGGAGTAATTTTTTTTTTCTTTTGCTCGGCAAATTATTCAAACGATTTGATCCATTTGGGGAACCGGTTTTTGGGATAATTAGGGAATTAATCGAATTATTCTTCTGTACATCGAATGTAACCAAATGGATATTTTTTTTCTAAGAGAAGAAAATTTTATCCATATCTTTTAAGTATTTTCCGTTATATATATATATATATATATATTTTTTTTTTGGACTGATATATGGTATATCTGATGCATCAAAAACGCATTCCCCTCGTGAGTGGGACGTATTGACACGTGTCATAGTAGGAATGGCGGTCTTCGTTGACTTGAAATGTGTCTTCTACACGGGAGCTGTAGGACAACCGGAACTGACTCAATTTACAGCAGCATCTGACATTCACACTTACCGTAAAGGATATGCATGACATCTATTTTATTTCTTAGCATTGTTTTTTAAAAGAAATAACTTTTTTCTATTTTTATGTCTTTAAACAATTTTTGAGAAAAAAAAATGTGTTTGATAACATGTTTTACTTTTTTTTCCGAGAATAAGAATTGTGTTTGATAACACAACAAATAATATAATAAAAAATAATTTCTATTAAATATAAAAAAAATTCGAATCATCACTTTCCTTTCCATATGGTGTGGTTGTGGTGGTGGTGGCGGTGAGTGGCATGGTGGTGGTGGCGGCGGCCGTACGGTAGTGGTGGTGGCAGTGACGTGGTGAAGATAGTGATAGTGGTTGTGACGGCAGAGGCTGCGACAATGGTAATGGTGGCGGCAGTGGTGGGGATGGTGGTGGTGGAGGTGACAACAATGATTGCGACAATGGTGGTGGGTATGGTGGTTGGTGACGGTAGTGTGACAGTGGTGGTGGTGATGATAGTGGTGATTGGTGACAGTGATGGTGATGGTAGTGGTGGAGTCGTGGTGGTGGTAGTGGTGGCGATGGTGGCGGTGACGGCAGTGGTTGCGATGATGGTGGTGGTGGTTGATGGCGCTAGTGGTGATGGTGACAATAATAATGGTGGTGGTGGTGGTGGCAGCAATGGTAGTTATGGTGATGGTGACAGTGGCATGGTGGTAGTGATGGGTGGAGGTGGTGGTGGCAGCGGAGGTAGTTATGGTGATGGTGACAGAGGCATGATGGTAGTGATGGGTGGAGGTGGTGGTAATGGTGGCGGTGGTGAGGGGTGGTGACGACGGCACTAGTGATACGATGACGGCGACGATGATGGTGGCTACAGTCGTGTCGGAACGATGGTGGTGGCGATGATGGTAGAGGTAGAGAGTGATTGAGAAAGATAAGTGTTTCTCATTTTGTGTCTGAGAACAAAAAAACAAAAAAAATTTGATTCTTTTTTCTGCTCTCCAGCACAAAAATTAAACCGGTTCATCCGGGAACATAAAAATAAACCGATTTTACCAAACGAGTTTCCTATCCATTTCTGTTCACGGAAACAGAAATAAAAAAAATGATTTCGGGAAGGTTATTATGCACTCCCTAAAGTTATCCACTCTTGAGATTAATTTCTTTGATTGTTTTTTTGATACATAAATTCTTTGATTATTAATTTACGCATCTCTTGAATTTTTTATGTCAACAAAAAGAAAGAATTAAAAAAAGCTTTTGAAATGAGTTTATTTGTTAAATGTAACAGTTGTAAGATATATTTATCTTTAAACTGTTTCATAAATTTAAATGTTGATTATTTGGATTAAATTAAGAGTTAATGTATGTATAATTACTAAATTTATTAAAAAATTATTTTAAAATATCAGAGGTTAGAGTTTTATTTTATACTTTTCTCTTTTGGGGAAGAATGGTAATTTCTCGTTAATGAATCATTGCATCTACACGCTGTTAACTACTTGTCATTAATTCGATTTTGGCTATGTTCTGTTAAAAATTTTGATGTGTAAGGATTAAAAGTTTTTATCTTTTCTTTTTTAATAAAGCCACTTAGTAAAGAGAAAAATACCATTACCAAAAAAAGAAAAGAAAAACTCTATGTACTGAGCTATAGGCACTAATTTGTTACATGAGTACATCAATGTGCAACTTTACATTAATATTGTTTATAGTTTATTATTATAATATGAGCTTAAAAGTTAATTAATATTGAGATATTTATATAGTTTTAATTACTTAGGGAGTAGCACAACATCTTTAATTAATTTAATATATATATATTTATATGGATTTGGTGTTTGTCATTTTAAATGACATAAGTTATGTCATTTTAGGAGAGAGATAGACACAGAAAAACGAAAATCATGGGAGAGAGAAAGTGGGTGGTTTTTTTTAATTTAAAATTCAAATTTTCTGTGTCTATATCTCTCTTAAAATGACATAACTTTTTGTCATTTAAAATGACAAACACTTTTCCCTATATATATATATATATATATATATATATATATATATATATATATGGGTTCGCTTTTTCTGCAGTTACTGCAGATACCTTATCTGCAGTAAGTCAATACGACGTCGTTTTGGGACGAAAATCATGGTATTTTTGTAATTTTAATTTATTTCAGGGTTATAATAGTCTTTATATTTATAATTTTTTAAGATTTCAATACCAAAACGACGTCGTTTTGGGAATAAATGTAGATAAGTTATCTGCATTAACTGCAGAAACATTTTTCCCTATATATATATATATATATGGGCTTAACATTTCTGCAGCTGCCGTAGACAGTGTTATCTGCTACTGACACAGAAAAGTGGGTCCCACAGCTTTAAAAAAAATAAAAAAATCCGACAGCAGATCCTAGGATCCGAACGCGGATCCTGGCTTACAGCAACTGCAGAAATCATTTTGCCTATATATATATACACTTAGCATTAGAATCACATAATAATTGTGAGAGCTGCCCCTTTAATTTGATGGTGGATGAATCCATGAATATATTAAAAAATCATATAATAACATTAATTGTAATTAATATATGGGTTTAATGTATCTCTAGTAAATGGAGATAACTTATCTCTAGTGACCCCAAAACAATATCATTTTAAGATTAAGAAAAATATATTTTTGTAATTCTAATTTGATCTAGGGTTATATTAGTTTTTTCATTATAATTTTTTAATTCTTCAACACAAAATAATGTCATTTTGGCTTATTTAAAATAAATTTTATTTCTAGTGACTGGAGAAATATTAAACTCAATATAATATATGATTTGATGTTTGTCTTTTTGAAGGACATAAAATTATGTCTTTTTAAGAGAGAGAAAGAAATACACAATGAAAAATCATGGGAGGAGAAAATTAGTGTTTTTTCATTTAAATTTTAAATAAAAAATACTAATTTTAACTAAAATGACCATCTTTTAAAAGGATAAATATTTTTTCCTATAATATATGTTATCTCACAAAATATAATAAATTAGAATTTTAACATGAGGCATTCAAGGGTGCATAAAGCAAAAGAAACCTTTATCGATGAGTAAAGTGATAAGCCACACCTTCAGTAATGGATCGAAAAATAACATTCAAACCATAATAATGAGCTTAATATCTCTTAACATAAAAAGTTAATGTAGTTTTTTTATTTATTTATAATATTTACTTAATTTATTTCTAACTAATATGGGACGTTATCAATAAACTGTATCAGTCTAATAGTGATGTGACGGATATATCTAAAATATTTCGGATATAACATATACTCTAACTAATTAAATATTATAGGTTATAGGAGTTCTAAATATTTTCTCATTCAATCCTTAATTTAACTATTTCCATTTCTTTATTATTTTTTTCAAACTCATATACAAAAAAATATAAAAAAAAAAAAAAAAAAAAACTTGAACTTACTACAGAAATAAAGTACCTTAAAAAAAATCACGGGACCCAATTTAATTTCTTAGAAAAAATTGACTCGTGATCTCTCTGAATTTCAAAATAGACCCATGTTAGTCGTTTTGAGGGACTAATGTAAGTCTTCTTTGAATTTCAGAGGAATCACGATTTCGACTACTCGGGTCTATTTTGGAATTCAGAGGGACCAAGAGTCAACTTTTTTTTTAAAGAGATTAAATTGGGCCCTGTAATTTTAATTTTTGTTGAGGACTCAAAATATACTCTCTCTTTTTTTTCTTCCAAAAATTTATGTGTGCACTTGCACATATTTGCACCTAAACAGGTCCGCCGATGCCTTAGAACCAAGCATTGGGATTAAGGGTGTAAATGGGCTAGGCCGGCCTGCAGGGGCCTACGGCCTAGCCTATATTAGGCCAGACTTGTCCTATTATAAATAGTAAAATAGAACATGCCTAGGCTTTTAAAAAAAACCTATTTAGAAAATAGACTATAGGCTTTTTTGTACATGACGGGCTATAAGCCTACAGGACGGCCTATATCGTATTATTTATTTAAAATATAATCAATAAAATTATTATTTTAATAATTTTGAATAATAAAATAATATTATTTTAATTATTCTTTTAATTGTTGAATGTTAAATGGACTTAAACAAGCTAATAAGACTAGCCAAGGCTTTTATTTTTTAAATATAGGTCAGACCAGACTTGTAATTGTTGGGTTTGCTCTTTTACTAAAGCCCAAATGGGTTATCAGTATGAGAAGAGCCCAAGGAACCTAGAGCCCAATGAACTAGGGTTTCTTGGAACCCATATAAATAGTACCTCTTAAGTCATCAGCCTCCAAGGTCTTTTTTGTGAGAAAGAGGCAAGCTCAGAATCTAATCAGTGCCCACACACTTCCCCTTCCTCATCGAGAGATAGTTTGGAAGATTTGCCACAGTCCAGCTTCAAGGAGGTTGTTCGTGCTACGGCGCTGAGGTGAGCTGTTCGTGAAGAGGAATCCTACAAGGGAAGATTCTACACGAGACCTGCGCACCAAGAGGTAATTGTGAAACAAGGATGATTCGGTAAGCATACCAATGTACTAGGTCCTAAACCGCTTCCGCATAAATCTAAGATTTCCTTCAATTGGTATCAGAGCCTTGGCTGTACATTGGTATGTGAATCTAGTTTCACTATTCATGTAATTAGTTTTGCTTCTTGAAATGTGGCACCTAGGGTTCTAGGATTATGGTATGAATCTAGCATGTGTATTTTATAATTCATTTTCGTAAAAGTTTAAATTTTAATCGATAAAA